AAAAGTTAAGAGTTGGTTCAAGTATCACTTACCCTACCAATGAAAAGGTATGCAATGGCATCATTTTGCCAAATTCATAGGCACTCTGAAATCCTATCCTTCTCTTGTTCAATGTATCTTCACCTATTCGATATCGCAGTATATCTTTGGTTAGGGTCTATTGGAGACAAAAGAGTTTCAGTTCGCTTTTCGTAGTAAAATTACGTGGAATTATATTTTTGAGGCAGTCAACTGTAGGCGACTAATTTTGATTTTCTCTCTGTTTGAGGAATGGCAGTAAGCGTTGTCTCTTTCGTAACTTTTATTTGGTCTCATCACGCAACACGCACTCCCTCTCAAACGGGGAATATATGACGTTGTGTGACGAGACTAAACAACGGCTGCGAGGGAAACAACAATAAGTGTTGCACTAATGCATTTTATTTTTGCTTAGAGGTATTTAGACAATAAACCACAAAATACCCGGTGAGTTCAGTTAAAATAGTAATATTTTCTTTCTCTAAAGGTGAAGTAATGCGATATTTTCGTCCGGTTGAAAGTTACACAGTGTCCCATCTCAATTGGCCCGCCTAGCCGAAAAAATAACCTTTGCTTACTACGCATGACTATGTTTTTTTTTCCGTTTGTGTGATATTGTCTTTTTTTTTCTTTCCATTGTTTTCAATTTGTTACTTGTGTGATCGAAAAAATTTTCCTTTAATTTAAATCCAAACAATGAAGACAATTGACTGTGGGCACCACGAACCGTTCGTGCGATTTTTATTGAACGTTTTTTCGGCATTGCCGGTAGTATCCTGTTCATCTCACGCCTAGCTTCCAATCGACATCCGTTCCGCAAAGTTCAAGAATGCGTCAATGCAAATGAACCTAGCTAACCGCACCCGAACCAGGTGCGGTACGGTATGGTTTCTATATATAGCTCTTATTGGCTATGAGGAACACGGCACAATGATTTATAACCGCTGGAGACTTGATTTTTAACAATGATCTCAGTAGCGAGTTGCGATGAAGGAGTTGTTTAAGGATAAATACTGACATAACCTTTTGGAAAATCTATCACCAAACGATAGCTTTACTTCAGCCAAATACTAGGTCTGTCAGAATTAAGGTAAGGGGTGTAATCTCCGTTGGTTATTGAAAGCCAGCAGTACTGTTTTCAAATCAATCAAAGAGATTAATTCTAACTTTATATGTTCGCTTGAAAAATCAAGTACATTTACGATGTGAAATGTGTCCTCTGGTACTGACGCTGACTTTTGTAACGCTTTGTGATTTTGTTTTTCAAACGAGTTGTTTTCCTGCTATACCTAGTTTACCAAAGAAAGAGTCACCTTAACATACGCCGCAATCTTTGGTTAAAATAGAAACTACGAAAAAAATTCCAAAGAGAAAACATCCTCTTGGCCTACTTCGTTCAAAATTGCCATCTGTCACTCCGTTTAGGGAGCCGCCCGCGGAGAGTAGGAATTGAAACAAAAATCAAAGGCCGAAACATCTGATGAGGCCGAGTTCCTGAGTAATCTATCCTCTTGCTATCTGAGATGGCCGTCAGCTCCTGTTGAATAATCACCTCTGACTAACGAGTCTAAAGGAAGTGTCCTTCGACAGCAAATTAGGTTCAAGTGGAAGTTGTGTTAGAAAGATATTTCCTTTACGCACACCCATACAAAATCTACTTCGACAGGTCCGCGCAGATAAATGTTATGATACGCAGACTGAAAGAGACTTTTTTAACATTATCATTTTATCAGGAATTGTGGCACATTTTGCGAGCTAAAATAGAGAATTTGGCACGCTGGCGTGATAGTTCAGGCTGTTTTGTTGTCGATTTTCCAGTTTTATACTTTCTCGATGCCATCTAAAATAATAGAAATAGTATTTACCAGACTATGTTTTGGGCTAAAAATATGTCTTGGGGCCTCCTCATTTTAACCCTCGCCTAAAGGCTCGGGCTAAAATTAATCTAATGATTTTTAAGGGATCACGTGGTTTTAAGGGGGAACAAAAGGGACGTCAGTCGTCTCTAACAGAGTCTAAAGAAAACTGATCAACAGTGAGGGGAATTTCATTAGAATACTGTAGAGCGTTATGTGAGGATTAGGTCATTTTCATTGTGACACGATTAAAAGCGTCACCCCCCAAAATGAATGGTCCCTTATTTTCATTGTTTCGCCCTCAGAGATGAAAGGTTTTATCATCACCAATGCATCCAAAGATGAGAGATGGTTTGAGCATATTGTTACCGGATTCTACATTGCGATCTTCGTGATCACATTTATGACGAACACGTTCCTCTTCATCGTGTTCCTGAAGAATAAATCGTTCCGCGACCTCAGCACTTACTTGATCGTCCAGATGGCGGTAGCTGACGTGCTGTATCTTTGCGTCACCTGCGCTATCATTGTCATAAAGAACTTGGATGTACAGCTTAGCCGGCCGATGTGCAAAGCCTTGTTATATGTAGAGGGAGTGGCCAGATTTGCATCTTCGCTCTCTCTGATGTTGATCAGTCTTGAGAGATCCATGTCTGTTTGCTCACCATCGATGTGCTATACAATCAGGAAAATTTCTGGAGTCAAGAAAAAAGTGAGTGTCTTGATGTGACTTCAATATGAGATGATCAACTTGTTGAAGCTGCCGTTATTGCAATGACCTACAATTTCTCCCTTTCTCATCCCACAGGCTTTCTTAAGCGTTTTCATCAGCGCTGTGATTCTTCGTTTAGGAGTCCTTTTCGTGGCGTGTGACTCTGAAAAGTGGGCCCCTGGCTACAGAGTAGCTGTGACTGTCGCTACTTATACCCTCCCCCTGGTGGTAGAGCTGACTGCCTACACCATATCTTACCACAATATCAACCGAAGACTTAGAGCTTCAGCAGGTAGCAAACAAGTTCTGTTGTTTATCAAGAGGTCGCTGAAGGTTTTTGTGCTAATCGCTGTGGTCTTTGCAGTCTGTACACTTCCTGCATCAATCATGGTGATTCTTCAGTCACTCCGTGTTTACACACCTAGCTATTTTGTTGGATATGTCGGGGACATAATTGAATGCATTCCCTGTGTCACAAACGTAATCTGCTATCTGGTCTGCAGTCCAAAGTTTCGCATGGAAATCAGGAAACTCTTATCAGGTGTGTTTCTGTTTAGATTTACTGCCCCATAGTTAGAATCCACAACCTCTCAATTACTCGTTCGGATAGTGAAACACGGTTCATTCTCTTCAGCATTTTCCGACATTTTACGACTTAAAAACGTACTTAGAACATTTGGACTGAGTTTTTTAGCGTAAAACCAAATCAACTTCCTAGCGACAAACAGCCAATCAAAGGGAAGGAAAACATAAAAAAGACAATGAGACCTCACAGTATGAACGAGCAAACCGAGTCGAGATGATTCCTCAGCATTACACTGCATATCCTATACTGCGCAAAAAATTACGTAATTAGGCGAATAAGCACGCGCGCATTCCGAGAACATGGAGAATCTTTACGAAGCGATAACGGAAACTCTTCGGAAAAAGGCAAAAACACCACCATACGGACGCGCGGTAAACTCTTAATCTAAAACGAATAAAACCCCAAAAGCGAAACGACCGAAAAAACTGAAAAACTAAAAAAACTCGCATACGCGAAAATCGTACGCGTCACAAATGCTCGCCACGTGTTTTAAAATTCGAAAAGTCTTAGAGCGCGCGTGCTCGCTAGTCGACTTCTTTTCACCAGATACGACGGTCTTTATTTCTTGAACGAGCACGGTGACCTATATATTATTATTCATTTGCACCTGTATAGGCTTAAATGGGGTACGCTTGGCCAATAAAATCTCTTTAGCAAGCACGCTTAGCTATCTTTTTTCATCGTAGTTTTCGAAACAGAGTTGGTAGGAAACATTAAAGGAAAAATTCAAAAAAGAATCGTTCAACAACTTTTATTTCTGAGTAATCATCTTAAGCGCGTGCAACCGATTGATTGGAAAGTTTAGTACGAGTTTTGTAGACAAATCGTTGGTTAAACAAAACCGAAGTAGCTCCGGATTACTCTCAGTACTCAGTTGAGACTTACTCTATGCCCAATCGATAACGCAGTGACCGGAACCCTGATTACAAACATTTTTTTCAGTCCCCGATTACAACTCAATACCAGGTTTTAAAGACCTTTCCTTTTCTAAGTACAATATCTCTTTCCATTCCTTTTTAATCAAACTTGAGAATGGCGACTAATATTCATAGTTACCTTGCTCCACTTGATAAGACGCCAGTATTGTTGTTTACACAGTAAGTTGAAAGAAGAGCACCGCTGGGTGACCCACATTAGAGCGAGGGACTACCTTAATTCAAAGAGGGAGTATACTTTTATCGAGGGCAGAAGTGAAATTATCTGACCGTAGACGTAAATAATTCCTTAATTACTATTTTTTTTAGTTCGATGAAATGATTTATGATTCATCGACAACTTGTTTACGGTATTCATGATTTTTCACTGACTATATCTTATAATTCATGATTTCTTTATTATTCATGATTCTGGCCACCTGATTTAACCCGTTTGGTCAATGATTCATGATTTCGCCTCCACCCACGAATGTTTGACAAAGAATCTAACCTTCTAACCTTTTACCCAGCCCTTCGCCTTTTCACAGATCTCGCACTTCCATTGCCTCTTACTAAACGTTTATTTACATCAGTACTCAGGTATTGTAACACTGGTGAATACATTTCCAAATCAGCCTCTGCAGAAGGCGCAGAAAACGTAGACGGCCTTGATGACGAAAAGAAAAACAAGCGCGCCATTGACAAGACCACTTTAAAGTTGGATTGGATTCTTGGCGATGACCCATCTCAAGTCGTCATTCCAGGATCCCCTACTCTGAGGGTAGACACACCAGCTAGTGCTGTACCCCCTGACTCCATAGAAGTACCTCTTATGGCCCTAGAAACCATTGCAGAGCAAGACGAAACAATTCCCCGACGGGCAGCTCGAAAAGGCACCAGCGTTAACACTTGGCCACGCATGCGTCAAACTCCAAACGATCGACGTGTCCCGGAGAATCTTGCGGCATCCAAGGACTCCGTTTTTTCTGGGTCAAGTTTAAACGGTGTGGACATTGGAGTTCACCAATCTGGGTTTGAGACAGGTTTATCCACGGAGACAGTGGATAATATTATGCCAAAGATCTCTAAACATACTGTCAAGAATGTGGAAATAGGAACCCAAACTGAGTTCAGCAGAGTTGACGTACATGAGACTGTGAAAGAAGGTAGATTATAGTAACATTTAATATCTATTATTACCATTCAGAAATCAATCTCGCATCTAAGAAAACAAATTTTGGGGATATTCAGCAAGCCGCAAAGCGGCAACGTAATTATCCACAAGTTTGGACCACTCGTGCTCGCGCAGAAAGAGCGGGGCCTTGAGTTATCAGAGTAGTTCGACGAGAAAATTCTTCAGGTTCTTACAAGAGTAAGTCATTCCGCGTTAGAAATTTCCCCTGTATGCATGGGCACATGCTCGTCGCAACTGGTCTGTAATGCGCTCACTCATGCCTAACATGCCGTGTGGCACGTCGGGCAGCTTTGGCGCCGTTTCCGTAACATGAGTGTTTGTGGGACAGGGTTGTTAGCCGTTCGTACCGTGGGGGTGGTAAATTTGAAGCTTGCCTGGGTGGGGTGGGCAATTTGAATTGTTAAGTCTCTCCAGCGGAATGAACATGTTTTGCCTTTTAATATGGAGGTGTTTACAGGTAAAAATTTCACTTTCGCGATCAGATGATCAGAAGAAAAGGTCTAAAAGAAAGTCACGGTTGCTATTTATCTTGCCGT